ACCAAAACTGACGGACAAGCGTGCAGTGCGGGAAAGGGGCATGGCTAGAAGTGGTAAATAAAATAATGGGGGGGCCCACATGTGGACTAAAATAAGTGTTGGATTCTGACTTAAAGCCTGCCACCAGATGCAGCTTTATTGTCACTTGCCACTCGCTGAGAGGGTTTTGATATGAGTCTGCAAGCAGTTGATTTATTATGGTCTCTGTGGAGTCAGACCTCTCTGCTAACATTAATCTGTATCTGCAGCCGCTCCCCAGTGCAGCATCACTGCCTCAGCTCCACCTCAGATCATCAGGCATTAGATTCTCATAAGGAGCGGGAACCCTAAATCTTTCGCTTACGTAGTTCATAGAAGGGTTTGCACTCCTATCAGAATCTGTAACCTGATGGTCTGAGGCGGAGCTGAGGCAGTGATGCTAGTGCTGGGGAGCGGCTGCAAATACAGATGAAGCTTTACTTGCTTGCCCACCACTCACCTCCTGCTTTGCGGCCCAGTTCCTAGTAGGTCATTGACTTGTACTCTTCTTCCCGGGTCTGTGGCCCAGGGGTTGGAGACTCCTGTTCTAGAGAGCAGTTTCTCAAGAGGGATCATTCAGAAAAAGAGTGCAGGTATAGCATCCTCTTTAGGGATGGCATGAGTTTATTCCCTGAACCTGATTTGACTGTTCATAGTTGTAGCCTGGCTCACTTTCTGGAAATTATAAGGAAACCAGGTTACAAAGAGAGCCAGTGAGCCAGTAAAAACCTTCTGCCTTTTAGGTATTGTTTAAAAAACAAAACAAAACATTCTTCTGCACTTAAACCCATTACCATATCCTCTGTTAATTTCCAATTTTTGCAAGATGAAAAAGTTCTGAAGATTGGTTATGCCAGTGGTCCCCAATCTTTTTGGAACCAGGGACCAGTGCTCCTATGAGAATCTAATGCCAGATGATCTGAGGCGGAGCTGAGTTGGTGATGGTAGTGCTGGGGAGCGGCTGCAAATACAGATGAAGCTTTACTTGCTTGCCCAGCTCTCACCTCCATGCTGGTCTGTGACCCAGGGGTTGGGGAACCCCTGATGTAAATGGAATCATATATATCCTTTTGTGTCTGGCTTTTTTCACTTAGCATAGTACATTCGAAATCCATTCATGTTGTATGTATCTGTAGTTTGTTCTTTCTGAGTAGTATTTCATCATGTAGGTTTAAACCACATTTTATTTATCAGTGCAGCAGCTGAAGGATATTTGAATTGCTTTATTTTTGAAGATTATGAATAAAGTTGTAATAAACATTGGGTATAGATTTTAGTGTGAACTTTTTTTTCTGTTAGGTAAATACCTAGAAGTGAGATTTCTAGGTCATCTAGTAAATGCGTTTAAAAAACAGGTATTATTTTTAGAGTGGTTTTAGAGTTATAACAAAATTGAGCAGAAAGTACCAAAAGTTCTCATGTACCCCCTGACCCACACATGCCCAGCCTCCCCCACTATCAACATCTGCACCAGAGTGGGTACATGTTACAGTCAGTGAACTTACAGTAACACCTCATTATCACCCAAAGTCTATAGTTTACATCACGGTTCACTATTGTGTTGTATATTCTATTGGTTTGGATAAATGCATAATGACATGTGTCTACCAAATAGTATCATACAGAATAGTTTCACTGCCTTGAAAATCCTCTCTACCTTTTCATCCCTCCCTTCCTTCCTCTCAACCCTTGGCAACCACTGATCTTTTTACTGTCTCCATGATTTTGCCTTTTCCAGAATGTCATGTTGTTGGAATCATACAGTATGTGGCCATTTCAGACTAGCTTCTTTCATTGAGTAATATGCATTTAAAGCTCATATCTTTTTGTGGCATGATAGCTCATTTCTCTTTACCACTGAATAATATTCCATTGTGTAGTTGTACCATAGTTTATTTATCCATTTATCTACCGAAGGATTTCTTAGTTGCTTCCAAGTTGTGGCAATTATGAATAAAGCTTATATAAACCTTCCATTTGCAGGTTTTTGTGTGGACATAAATTTTAAACTAATTTCACTAAATACCAAGGAGTGAGACTGATGGATCATATGGTAAGACTACATATAGTTTTATAAGAAATCACCAAACTGTATTCCAAAATGGCTGTACCATTTTGGATTCCCTTCTGCAATGAATGAGAGTTCCTGTTGCTCCACATCCTTGCCAGCATTTGATGTGGTCAGTGTTTTTGATTTTGGCTGTTTTAATAGGTGTGTAGTGGTATCTCATTGTTTTAATTTCAGTTCCCAAATCACTTATGTTGAGCATCTATTCATACTTATTCGCCATCTGTATATCTTCTTTGGCAAGGTGTCTGTTCAGGTCTTTTGCTTATTTTTTAATTGAGTTTCTGTTCTTATTAAGTTTAGGTGAGTTCTTTGTATATTTTAGATAACATTCCCTATGAGGTATGTCTTTTATAAGTATTTTCTCCTAGTTTATCTTCTCATTCTCTTGAAAATGTCTTTTGCAAAGCAGAAGTTTTAATTTTAATGAGGTCCAGCATATTGATTCTTCTTTCATTGATTGTGTGTTTGGTGTTGTATCTAAAAGGTCATTGTCATGCCCACAGTCATCTAGATTTTCTCTTGTTATCTTTTGGTTTTGAGTTTTATAGTTTTGTGTGTTTTAGATTTGTGATACATTTTGAATTGATCTGTGTGAAGGGTATAAGGTCTGTGTTTAATTTCCCCTCCCCGCCATGGGGATCTCCACTGGTCCCAGCACCATTATTAAAGGTACTGTCTTTTATCTGTTGTATCATCTTTGCTCTTTTGTCAAAGATCAGTTGGCGGTGTTTATGTAGGTCTATTTCTGTACTCTCTGTTGTGTTTTATTAATCCATTTGTCTATTCTGTCTTCAGTACCACACTGTCTTGATTACTGTAGCTTTACAGTAAATCTTGAAGTCAGGTAGTGACCGTCTTCAGCTTTGTCCTTCTCCAGTATTGTATTGCCTATTCTAGATCTTTGACCTCTCCATATGAACTTTAGAATCATTTTGTTGTTATCTAGAAAAACTACTTGCTGAGATTTTTATTGGAAATATGTTGTCTTTTCACTCTGTTAATTGTATTTTTTGATGTACAGAAGTTTTTAATTTGATAGAGTCCAATTTATCTATTTTTATTTTTGTTGTCTTTGACATTAGTGTCATATCCAAGAAATCATTTTCAAATCCAGTATCATGAACATTCTCACTATGCCTTTTTCTAAGAGTTTTATAGTTTTGGGTTCTTAACTGTCTTTTGAAGAGTAAAAGTTTAAAACTTTTACGAGGATTACATTATTAATTTATTCTTTTATGGAGTGTGCTTAAGAAGTCTTTGTCTAACTCAGGGCCGGATAAATTTTTGTTGTTGTTCTTGTACAAGTTTTAAACGTTTTAGATTTATATTTAAGTTTATGATACATTTTGAGATAATTTTGTTTATAGTGCGAGATATGAGGGTTTTTTTTTTTTTGATATGTATGTCCAATTGTTTTAGCACCGTTTGTTAAAAAGACTATCATTTCTCCATTGAAGTGCCTTTACATCTTTGTCAGAAATCAGTTGTGTATGTATGGGTTTATTTCTGGATTTTCCTATCTATTTTATTGATCTGCATGCCTATCCTTTGGCCAGTATCACACACTGTAGATTATGGTAGGTTTATATTAAGTCTTGCAATCAATTAGGTAGTGTGAGTCATTCAGATACTTACTTCTTTTTCAAAATTGTTTTGACTATTAATAGTAGTCATCTGCCCTTCCAAATAAATTTTTGAAAGAAATCCTTGATTAAAATTGTGTTGAGTCTGTAGATTAATTTGGGAATAATTGTTATAATAACAATACTGAGTTTTACAATTTGTGAACATGGTAAACCTCTTCATTATTTAGGTCTTTTTGATTTTTCCTTGTTCTGTCCTTTTCAGGGATGGGCCTTTTGGTTTTTCAAGTTTAACACAGGACTGCAGAGAGGGAGATGGGATGAGTCAAGTTAAGAAGGTCAACGTTCTTACCACGATTAAGATTTCTTGAATAAATACTCTTTGGATTATTTCAAGTCTTTGGTTTACTTCCAGAGTTCTAAAAAAGTTGACTTTGACAGTTTTTGCCTGTGTTTTCATTGCTTTTATGGTGGAGAGGCTTTTTGGAGATCTTTACTTTGCCATACCTGCTGCCCTCATTCTCTATTCTGTTTTTTAAGATACTGTAAAGTGTCGTGATGGTAAGATTTTTACCTTTTTTTTTTTTAAATGAATGAAGATATTGAGATTGTCAGTGTGTAAATTGAGTTATTCAAATTTATGATCTCAGCTGTTGTACTGAACAGAAGCAAGGATATTTCCTCTCTAATTGTTATGATTTCAAGGGAGAAAAAATTTATCAAACTATAGCAAAACTCTGAAAATAATGGATTGGAACTGAGTAAAGTTGGCAATGAAATTTCCTTTCTCTTAAAATTGTTTTTACTTGTAATTCAAACTGTCATTATTATTGCTTTGTATGAGTACTAAGAGGAAACAATGGAAGCGCAGATGTCAACTTTAGCTGCTGGGAAGCCAAGAATAAGAGTAGTGTTGTTTAGTGCCTGGGAGATTTAATGAGACCAGGAAACAGGAAGTCTGGGCTGTGATGCCTTTCTGCCACCAAAAAACCAATGTGATTTTGGTATTCTCCTGCCCCTAAGAGTTTCATCTGGAAATTTTCATGGAGTTGGATTACATGTCCTCCGAGAGCTTTTCTAACTTTTTGTGTCTTATTCATTTGAAAGGGCTTTGTGCTTTTTGATGAAAATTGGGAATGTTGTATTTGTAAGACTGCTCCTTCTGGAGTAAATTACTACTAATGAAGGCACAGTTATGTGCTGTTATTAGAAAATTTTACATTAATTAATTTTTTTCCTAACAGTAGTCATGTGTCTTACAGAAAATGAGAACAATGTGATTTTTTAAAACAATATGATTTTAATATTCTTCATATACTTTGTTTTAGGTTGGTACAGAGGAGTTTCAACAAAGAAGCCAAATGTAAAGGTAATGAAAATTTTTATTACCTTTTCTGGTGTAGTAAACTGCTTAGTATGTTTGTTTGATATAAAAACAATTCTTACTTGCCCATCTTTTAATCTTTTACAATAGCCACACTCATTTTTTCATTTACAGAATTGTATCAGTTTCTTCTCTGTCTCAGCAATATTAGAATTTTTTTTTTAAAGAACAAAATGCAAATGAATATATAGTCATAGCTGCAAAGCTTATTTTGAAAAAGCCTATTTAGGACTTTGAATATTTTTTTCTTTAAATATTCAACAAAAGTAAATTAACTTATTCTTAGGCTTAGTCCTGTGGAGCCATGTGATTAGTTATTGATGAATCTGTAAAATAAAAAATGAAAAAATCTTTCAAATAATATTCAGTTAGTTATGTCTTTATTGCAATGTTCTTGTTAAAATATGAATTTGAACCAGGCATAAGTGTAGAATACTAATTTTATAAACTAGATTTTATGAGTTAGTCTGCTACCAAATAATATTAATTTGGTCAAATAAAATATATTTTAATTAGCAGTTATACTACACTTAGGAACATTATTCTCCAAAATTGCATTTGCAAAAACTTCTTTCTGCTCACATTTTCATATGATTAACATTATCAGCTTTTCTTATATTTTTTCTGTAGCTTAATATTTAACATATTATGCTTTTTCTTGTGTAGAAAAATATCAAAATTATCATGAATTATTTTTATTAAAAAAAATTATTCAGAGTTCTGATCATCAGTTTTGCCAGTAGAATCATTCATTTTGTTAGTTTTTAAGGTAAGGATTATAAGAAGACAGTATCTTTAAATTTTAATTTTTCAGAGCCAGGGCTTCTTTGACATTTGGGGACAGATAATTCTTTGTTTTGAGTGGCTGTCTTGTGCATTGTAAAATGTTTAGCAGCATATATCACCTCTACTCACTAGATATCAGTAACATTCCCCCAGCCCCCAAGAGTGACAATGAAAAATGTCTCTAAGCATTGCTAAAGGCCCTGGGGTGGGGTGAGAACTTCTTGCCTCTGGTTGAGAACTACGGCACATAGGTAACTTTCTCCCTTGAATTTCTAACTTTAAAACACACTTTCAGGTGTTATTTCCATATTGGGAATGCTGATAAGGATGTCATTTCTATTTGTATTTTATGTTTTTTATCTTGACTTAAAATTGTCGAAAATTTAGAACTTGAGTAAATGAGAAATCTTATAAATGATTGGAAAGCTGTAATTTGTGGTATTATGTGCTATTAATTTATTTTTGGTAATATTTTTGATCTTGGCCACCCCACCACCTTGCTTCTAATAGTAGTGTTTGAGGATCAGTGTGGAGATGATGGTCATTGAAATTATAGTATGTTTGTGATTCAAATACCAAATTATGCATAGTGTGTGGCTTGTAGACCTTGTCGAGTGAGATATGAAAGATGATACACTTAAAATATCAATTACCTTGCAGGACATTTGCTCCTGTCCAAAATGTCCACTGAGACATTTGATTTTCACCAAAAGGTCCTTGATAGTTTGGTTTTGTCAGAAACATTCACATTTAGCAAACACCTTTGGGTTCAAATAGCCCATAATGTTTGTTTATACTTTTGGTTTACAGGATTAATATGTAAAAAGGACTTTTTGGGTGGACATTTTGGACAGGACCAAATGTCCGCTAATCACCAGCTACTGTACAACAAAGTGATCTAACATATAGTGGATTGAACTAATCACCACTTTATCTCTCATGATTTTGTGTCTTGACTGTTGTTAACTGGGCAGTTATTCAGGTTCATGTGATGTCACCAGTGGCTACAGTCATCTGGAGGCTCAGCTTCCTGGAATATCCAAGAGGGTTTACCTACATGGCTGCCATCTTGGCAGAGACAGCTGGAAGTCCGTCCTCAGCCAGACCACTGAAATAGCTAGGCTTCTCCATGTAGTTTCAAGGTCTCTACCTCTCCATGTACTTTCTACAGCAGGATAATCAGAGTTCTCTTTTAGAGTTTAGAAAATATTATACCTATTTTCTAAATTCGTTTTTTTCTTTTTCTTTTTCTTTTTTTTACAATGAATATATTTAGAGTCTGTGGGAGAGGTCGTTTTGTGATTAACCTTAGCAATGATTAATAAGTTAATCGAAATGTGGAAACCAAATTATGCTAAAGTGTTAGAGCTCATTTTGTCTGATCAGACTCTTTTAATTACTTTGGGCTAATGTGATACTTTTGAGAGTATGTATTTTAGTAATACCAACTCCATTCTAGATCTTAGATTATTGTAGCGTTTATTAACAACACACATCTATCTACCTCTTAAAAGTTTTTATTTGTATTATTAAACTTAAAAAATGAAGAGATGGAAAGACAGTATTAATAACTAAATTTCATTTCTCATGGCAGTGATATTTTTCAGAAACATGATTAATATTCTTTAGTGTTTGTAAAAGGTAATTATCTAGTGATTCAACACAATTAAAAATGCATTCCTATACATCTTTTATTTGTCTTAATAATATGGCACAATAAGAATTTCAGTAGACTTCATAGTTATTAGTGGTTAAAGAAAAATAAAAAAGGTGACTTAGGAGAGTTTTTATAAGTTTTTATAAGTATTAGAAAGTAGTTCATGCAAGTGGAAACCGAAAGAGAGCACAGGTAGCTATACTTACATCAGATGAAATAGACTTTAAGCCAGAAACTAACTGGAGACATAGAAGATCATTATATAATGATAAAGGGTCAATTCATCAAGAAGACAAAACAATCATAAATATATACGCACCCAAAATGGAGCCTGAGTTACATTAAGCAAATACTAACAGACCTGAAGGGAGCAGCAGATAACAATACAGTAATCGTAGGGGACTTCAGTGCCTCGCTTTTATCAATGGATAGATCATCCAGATAGAAAATCAACTAGGAAATGTTAGACTTGAACTATACTTCAGACCAAATATACTAACAGATATATAGAGCATTTCATCCATCAGCAGCAGAATACACATTCTTCTCAATTGTAAATAGATTATTCTTCAGAATAGATTATATGATAGGTCACATAATAAGGCAAATTTAAGAAGACTGACATCATATTATGTGTCTTTTCCAACCACAAGGGTATGAAACTAGAAATCAATAACAGGAGGAAAATTGGGAAATTCACAAATATGTGGAAATTGAACAACATGCTCCTGAACAACCAATGGGTCAAAGAAGAAATCAAAAGGGAAATAAAAACATCTTGACACAAATGAAAAGGGAAGAAAAGCACAGCAAAACCTATGGGATGCTGCAAAAGCAATTTGAAGAGAGAAGTTTATAGCGATGAATGCCTACAATAAGAAAAAAGAAAGATGTCAAATAAACAACCTAACTCATACCTCAAAGAACTAGAAAAAGAATAAACTATGCCCACCTTTATCAGAAGGAAGGAAACAACAAACATCAGAGTAGGACTAAATGAAATAGAGACCGTAAAACAATAGGAAAGATCAGCAAAACTCAGGGCTTGTTCTTTTAAAAGACTGACAAAATTGATAAACCTTTAGCTAGACTAAGAAAAAACAGAAAAGACTCAAGAAATGAGAAATGAAAGCGGAGACGTTAAAACTGATACCACAGAAATACAAAGGATTATAAGAGACTACTTTGAACAATTACATGTCAACAAATTGCATACTGTAGAAGAAATGGATAAATTCTTAGAAACGTGCACACTACCAAGAATGAATTAAGAAGAAATAGAAAATCTGAATAGTTAATAATGAGTAAGGAGATTACATTGGTAGAAAAGTTTGCAAACCATTTGGAAAGAGGAAAAGAAGAAATATTTATAGAGGCTCCCAAATTGAATAATTCTTGTGAATATAAATGTTAGTCAGAATCTGAAAACTGTTTCTCCAGCTCAGAGCTGAGTAATCTATTAGGTGTTGGTTCGACGATGATGTTGGTTTTGTAGATACATGCCAAGCTTTGTACATGTCTATATCCTGAGAGTGATTTGATGGAACATTTTCAATCTATTATGGCACAATAAGAATTTCAGTAGACTTCATAGTTATTAGTGGTTAAAGAAAAATAAAAAAGGTGACTTAGGAGAGTTTTTATAAGTTTTTATAAGTATTAGAAAGTAGTTCATGCAAGTGGAAACCGAAAGAGAGCACAGGTAGCTATACTTACATCAGATGAAATAGACTTTAAGCCAGAAACTAACTGGAGACATAGAAGATCATTATATAATGATAAAGGGTCAATTCATCAAGAAGACAAAACAATCATAAATATATACGCACCCAAAATGGAGCCTGAGTTACATTAAGCAAATACTAACAGACCTGAAGGGAGCAGCAGATAACAATACAGTAATCGTAGGGGACTTCAGTGCCTCGCTTTTATCAATGGATAGATCATCCAGATAGAAAATCAACTAGGAAATGTTAGACTTGAACTATACTTCAGACCAAATATACTAACAGATATATAGAGCATTTCATCCATCAGCAGCAGAATACACATTCTTCTCAATTGTAAATAGATTATTCTTCAGAATAGATTATATGATAGGTCACATAATAAGGCAAATTTAAGAAGACTGACATCATATTATGTGTCTTTTCCAACCACAAGGGTATGAAACTAGAAATCAATAACAGGAGGAAAATTGGGAAATTCACAAATATGTGAAAATTGAACAACATGCTCCTGAACAACCAATGGGTCAAAGAAGAAATCAAAAGGGAAATAAAAACATCTTGACACAAATGAAAAGGGAAGAAAAGCACAGCAAAACCTATGGGATGCTGCAAAAGCAATTTGAAGAGAGAAGTTTATAGCGATGAATGCCTACAATAAGAAAAAAGAAAGATGTCAAATAAACAACCTAACTCATACCTCAAAGAACTAGAAAAAGAATAAACTATGCCCACCTTTATCAGAAGGAAGGAAACAACAAACATCAGAGTAGGACTAAATGAAATAGAGACCGTAAAACAATAGGAAAGATCAGCAAAACTCAGGGCTTGTTCTTTTAAAAGACTGACAAAATTGATAAACCTTTAGCTAGACTAAGAAAAAACAGAAAAGACTCAAGAAATGAGAAATGAAAGCGGAGACGTTAAAACTGATACCACAGAAATACAAAGGATTATAAGAGACTACTTTGAACAATTACATGTCAACAAATTACATACTGTAGAAGAAATGGATAAATTCTTAGAAACGTGCACACTACCAAGAATGAATTAAGAAGAAATAGAAAATCTGAATAGTTAATAATGAGTAAGGAGATTACATTGGTAGAAAAGTTTGGAAACCATTTGGAAAGAGGAAAAGAAGAAATATTTATAGAGGCTCCCAAATTGAATAATTCTTGTGAATATAAATGTTAGTCAGAATCTGAAAACTGTTTCTCCAGCTCAGAGCTGAGTAATCTATTAGGTGTTGGTTCGACGATGATGTTGGTTTTGTAGATACATGCCAAGCTTTGTACATGTCTATATCCTGAGAGTGATTTGATGGAACATTTTCAATCTATAGCTTAAAAAATATTTTATAGTTTTTTAAGATCACAGTTTTCCCCTTAAATATGGACTCTAATTGTAAATGACAATGAAATTCCTATTTAATATAATTTGTGCAACTTTGGATTCTTAATTAGCAAAATGGTTGCTACATCACAAGATCTACTATGTTGTTGATAGACTATTTCCATGCTAAAATCTGACTGCTGTTTTAAAATATGCAATGTGAATCAAAAGTTACTTTTCTAATGGGAAATCTTTTCTCTTTTGCAGGGGATCTTTCCTGCAAATTACATTCACTTGAAAAAGGCAATTGTCAGTAATAGGGGGTGAGTAGTTGGCTTTACTAAATTTATTCACAATTTTCGTAGGTTGCAGAGGGAGGCTTTTATATTTTTTGTTCAAATTATAAGATATGCTGTTAACATGTTTTCTTGCCAAAAATATACTCGTTTCATCATATATGTAATCTTGAGGACATAATTTTTTCTCGAAGTACTGACAACTTTAATTAGTTTTAGTTTTCTTTTATACTAGAAGGGTAACGTGAGTTGTGAATTTTAGAAAAGCAATTATGCATGCGGTTTTTTTAAAAAATGTTGTACTGTTTTGAGAATAGGATAGGATAGGAGTTAGTGATAAATTTGTCATTTTGTTTCTATATGTCAGAGTGAAGGAGTCTTTTAAAATCTTTCCTTTTGCTAGTAGAAATTGAAAAAAACTTTAAAGGCATACTTAAGGATAAAAAGACAGTGTATAAAATGGATACATACTTTGATTACAAATTTGAGAAACAAAAGCAATCTCTGAATAGATGAGAGACAAGATGTAAATATAGCAGAATGTTAACATTTGTTGTTTTTGCACGTTTGGATTATGAGTGATTTTTTAAAATTCTTTACTGTCATGTTCTATTTTTAAAAGTAATAAATGTATGTTATTATAAAATTGTGATTTTATTTTTCAATATTCATTATTTTAAAATATGAAATTTAAGGTACTGTATAACTATGATAGCTTTTAGTACTGGAAATAATGTTTTTGGCCAGAGGCTAAATAGCATCACAGCAACCTTCTGGTAAGTTAGGGTTTAGTCAGAAAAAGAGAAACTTATGAGTCACATTATGAGATAGAATTTAATATGCAGAATTATTTACACACAAGTTTGAAGAGTGAAAGAGAAAAAGAGGAAATACTCATATAACCCAGAATAATAACTGCAGAAAGCTGTCGCTACTCTAAGCTGGGATGCAAAAGATAATAAGTCGGGGATACCAGAACCCAGGAACTTGGGTGGTTCTTGGGAGACACTGGAGCTCAGACATCTGAAGAGGGGATGTCTTGTGGCTGCTGCTGGTATGGATGAAGAAGAGAATGCCAAAAGCATCTGGAGGATGGGACCAGTTTTCTCTGGTGGGGAATCGTTTACAGGAATAGGAATATAAGTATCTTTCCCATGCGCCCGGATGACTAAGGAGTTTGTGAAACAAGGTTTGCAAATCCCAGGCTCAGAATCAGTGTTTGGAAGAGGAGAATTATTAGTAAATGACTGGTATGGCTTCAGAGACAAAGTTATCATTGAAGTAAGACTATAACTGGGAAGTTTCTTATATGAATGTGTGACCAGCACACTTCTTTTTCTTTCCCTTCGCCTTTTATAGAACGTCAAAGACACAGGGATATAGAGAAAGAAAACTTGAAAATCCTATATTAGTAAACCTTTGCAACAAATAATCTGCCACCTCGAATTTTTAAGTAAGGACTGCTAAAGCCATCATGAGAAGATAGAAGTTGTGTGGGAAAAGTAAAAAATATCTAGACCAGGGTTAAGAAAGCATATATTTCAGAAAATGCTAATAAAATACATATTCTGAATGTGAATGGCTCACCTCGGAATGAAAAAATAATTCCCCTGATTTATAACCCTTTGGTCAGGTAGGGGGCTCATGAGATGAAATTGGGCAGAAGCTGCACGGAGATTAGGTGAGAAAAGGAGGTATAATGTCTAGAGATCCACAAATAGAGTGCCTCAGAAAACAGTGCACTTCCTCATAACAAGGGACCCACCTTAAATCAAGAGCCATGTCCCTGTTTATAATAGTTGTAAAGGAAGTTGGGGAACCCTTCGCAATGGAAGAATCCCTGTCTGGATTCAGTTTGTTTCAGAAGACAAAGGAGACGTGGCTGTAAAGGATCACCCAGAGCAGCCATGTCGGTGGAAGCGCTCTTTCCCCATGGGAGCAGAGTAACAGTCTTTGGATGTAAATCTTAGAAAGGTGCCTGGAATTAGTTCAGTATACAGACGTCTTGCAGATCGATGGTCCAGAATAACATTTCTGAAATCTGAAGAAAATATTAAAACGTCTGTAGGTGCTGAAGAGCAGTCATTGTAGGGAGGATCTTGAGGAGCTATGATTTTTGAAGGAAGGGATACTCAGGAAGAATTCATATTTACTTTGGCTTCTTTCCTGCAGAGAATTTTCCAGGTTGCTGTGATGTGTGGAATAGATCCCAGACAGAAAGTGGTGTAGTCTTTTAGGGCTGAGGAAACAGAGGTCACAGTTCCGAACTCTCAGAGAGGCTGGAAAAAAGAAGAGGTAAAATCCCAGAGAAGAGGGAACCCCAGAGAATTAGGACCTTACTCTGCATACAGATTCCCCCAGTGTGACTGAGTTTTAGCTTCTCTCGGACTATGCAAGACACTAGGAATCTTAGTAGAAGAGTACAGCTAGCAGCTTTAAAACTGAGTAGACTTCACCAGCCAGCTAATACAGGTGAGAAAAATATTAGAGTTCAAGGACTGGCAAGGTAAAGGGACCGTGGTAAAATATTTTGAATTTTCTGTTGAGACCCCTAAATGACCACGCTGTTTAAGTAAGGGCCAGGCCCTTGGAGCAAGAACCAAACCATAGCTGTATGAAGTACTGAAAGAGGCCGGTCCTAGTTGTATAAACCTCTGAAAACAATGGTTGTTTGAAGAACGAAAAGCACTCATAATGCTCTCATCCAGAAATAAACACTCTAAACGGTTAATATATTTCCTATTTTTTTATGCATGGTATTTTTATTCTGTTCCCTATTATATTTGTAAATTAATTCTCCTTTCCCCCCACAGTTCTAAACATGGTTTTGGTGATACATCTTTTTTTTGTGTGTCTCTACCCCTTTCCCCTTAGTTTCTATGCCTATTATTGTTTCTATTTTTCTTCTTTGGCCTCATTTTGTCATTATTCAAAGATTTCAGCCCCTTAAATCTAATTAATTCATGAGTTTTATCTCTACTCTGTTTTCTTCCTTTACATGCAGAGTGTGCCTGTCTTATTCAGGAATAGTAAAGCAGACAGTTTGACTATAGGATGAGGGCGATAAAAAGAGATGAGCCCAGAGTGGCAGCAGGGGGATGGACATTGTAGGGCCTTGTAGGCCATGTCAGGGGTGTTAGCTTTTATCAAATGAGCCAGGAAACAACTGAAGGCCTTTGGAGAGAGAAGAGACATGTTCTTATTTAATTTTAATATTCTGGGTGGCTTTGTTGAAACTAGTAGTATAGGGAGACCGGTCAGAAGATT